ACTACATCCCCTATGTCCCTAACTCCCACCTCCTTGTCCTCTCCATTCCATGTCTCCCAACTGTCCCAACTGTCCCTAATCCATCACCATGTCTCCAGCTGTCCCCTCTCTGTCCCTCTCCACCATCTCCATGTCTCTACATTCCATCTCTATGTCTCCAATCTGTCTCCAACTCCATTCATCCCTATGTCCCCAACTCCTCTCATGTCCTCTCTTCCTTCTGTCCTCTCCACCATCTCATCTCTCATGTCCCTAACCCCATGTCTCAACTGTCTCCCAGCTGTCCCCTAACTGTCCTCTCCACCATCTCCCATGTCCCCAACTGTCCCTAAGTGTCTCCTCCACTCATCTCCATGTCTCCTAATCATGTCCCTAACTCCATGTCCCATGTATGTCCCTCCTCTCTATCGCTGTCCCCAAGTGTCCTCTCTCTCATCTCTCATCTTTCTCCATCGTGACTGCCCTTGCCTTGCCTCTGGCCTGGCTCTGCTCACAGGTACAGGGACATGCTGTCTCGTGTCACTGTTACACGCTGTCATTGTCACCTCTCTGTGTCACTGTCACTGTCACTACTCGTTATTGGTCTATCTCTGCTCTGTGTCATTGTCATTGTCACCTCCCCTGTGTCACTGTCACTGTCACTGTCACAGGTACAGGGACACGCCCCCCGTGTCACTGTCACCAATATCATTGTCATTGTCACCTCCCTCCTGTCATTGTCACCTCCTATGCTCACCCCCTGTGTCACTGTCACAGGTACAGGTCACCTGTGTCACTGTCACCTTTTGTCACCTCCTGTCACCTCCCCCGTGTCACTGCCATTGTCATTGTCACCTCCCTTCTGTCACTGTCACCTCCCCTGTCCCCTCCTGTTCCCTCCTGTCACAATGGGGGTGGGGAGGCAGACCTGGGGGCACCGGGGAGGGGCCGGGGTGGGGGAGGGACAAGGACGTCACTAATGGCACCTGGTGACGTCACTGGTGTCACCCAATGACGCCATTGATGTCACCTGACGAAGTCATTGATGTCACCCGATGACGTCACTGGGGGGGTCACCTGATGACGTCACTGGTGTCCCCGACATCACTTGATGCCACCTGGTGATGTCACTGATGATGTCACATGATATCACCCAATGACATTGATGATGTCACTGATGATGTCATCAACCCCATCATTGATATCACCCAATGATGTCACTGATATCACCCTGTGACGTCATCAATGATGTCACCCGATGACGTCACTGATATAAGTTGATGATGTCATCAATGACATTCATCAATGACGCTACTGACCCCCTCCCTCCTCCCCTCCGCACAGGCGACGCCGAGGACCCCTGAAGAAGCTGAGTGACCCCAGAGGGCCCCTCCCCTCTAATCCCCTCCTGCCCGGGGTGACCCTAAAATCCCAACACGGGATGGGACCTCAAAACCTCGGGACCCTCAAATCTCTGGAGACCCTAAAACCTCTGGGACCTCTCTGGGAACTTTGGGGACACCTCGACCCCAAAACCTCAGGGGACCCTAAAACCCTCGGGAGACCCAAAACCTCTCGGGGGCCCCCAAACTCCCTGGAACTCCCCGACCTCGGGGACCCCCCAAAACTGGGAGGACCCCAAAACATCAGGGGACCCTAAACACCTCAGGAGACCCCAAAAACTCAGGGGACCCCAAAACCTGAGGACCCCAAAACATCAGGGGACTCCCAAAACTGGGAGGACCCCAAAACATCAGGGGGACCCCAAAACTTGGGAGGACCCCAAAAACTTGGGAGGACCCCAAAAACATCAGGGGACCCCAAAAACTCGGGGGACCCTAAACCTCCTCTCCTCCCCTCAGGTCATGCGCAGGGCAGCCTCCGCAGTGGGGCCGCCCCAAAAACGCCCGGGGGCCCTAAACCTCCGGGGAACCCCTAAATTGCCCCCAAAATCCCCTCCCCTACCCCCAAAAATCCTCCCAAAATCCCTCCCCCGAGGGCGTCGCTTATTTACTGCCAATAGGATTTCCTCCCCACCCTGCAAAACTCGTGGGTTTTTTGGGGGTGGGGAGGGGTGAGGAGGAACCCCAAGAATTGAGAGGGTTGGGGGCCAAAATCCTGATTTTGGGGTTTTGGGTGTTAAAATCCGATTTTTGGGGGTTTGGGTGTTAAAATCTCGATTTGGGGGGGGGTTGGGTGTTAAAATCCCAATTTTTTGGGGGGAAACTCTTGAATTTGGGGGCTTGGGAGGGGGACACGCCCCAATTTTGGGGCCTCTGGATGTGAAACCCCAATTCTGAGGGGATTTTGGGTGTTAAAATCCCATTTTTGGGATAACCCTGAATTGGGGATTTTGGGGTGGGAAAGCCCCAATTTTGGGGTTAAGGGGGCGACCCTTGAACGGAGTCATCTCTGGGACCCCCCAAAATCCATCTCGGGACCCCCAAAATCCACCCTGGGACCCCAAAATCCACTCTGGGACCCCCACATCTCACCCTGAGACCCCAAAATCCACTCCTGGGACCCCCAAACCCCATCGCGGGACCCCAAAATCAGTTTGAACCCCAAATTCCACCCCTGGGACCCCAAAATCCATCTGGACTCCCAAACCCTCTACTCTGAGACCCTCCGAATCCACTTCAGACTCCTGAGACCACCCAGACCCCAAAATCGACTCTGGGGACTCCCAAAATCCACCCTAGGACCCCAAATTGAAACTAGGGACCCTCAAACCCCACCCTGAGACCCCAAACTTCACCTGGGACCCCAAATCACCTTCTGGGACCCCCTAAATATCCACCCAGGACCCCAAAATCCACTCTGACACCCTCCTAAATCCTCCTCTGAGATCCCCCCAACCTCTGCCTCCTCTCCCTCCTCCTCTCCCTCCAAATTTTGGGGAGGGTCGTCCTCCTCCCCCAAAAAAGACCCCTGACACTCGAGTGCAAAATCACTTCTTTATACCCCCAAAACCTCGTGAGGTAACCCCCCAAAATTCGGCCCTGGGGTCTCTGGGGTCCCAGATTGATTTTTGGGGGTGGGAGGGACGGATCACTCCCTCCTTGTCTCCCGCCGTGATGACGTAACAGATGTTCTGTAGTCCATGTCGTCCCGGCCAAGCTGGGGGAAGGACCCACATGTTCTTGATCTGGGGGGAGGGTCCCCAGACTTGGGGTCCTGTCAGGGGTCGGGGACCCCAAAATGGGCCCCGGGGGGGCGAGTTTGGGGTGAAGCTTGGGGGTTAGGGGTTGTTGGGGGTTTTGGGTGTTTGGGACCCCATGTTCTTGATCTCGGGGAGGGGGCCCTGCAAAATTTGGGGTCCTTCAGGGGTCTGGGACCCAAAAACAGCCCCTGGGAGGCGGTTTAGGGGCTTGGGGTCCCAGGGGAGTTTTGGGGATTTTGGGGGGTTATTGGGGGTTTTGGGGTGTTTGGGACCCCCATGTTCTTGATCTGGGTTTGGGGGACCCCAAAATTTGGGGGTCCGTCGTTAGAGTCAGGGACCCAAAATCACCTGAGGTATCTGATTTTGGGGGCTTTGGGGGTTTGGGGGTCCTGGGAGCTTGGGGGTTTTGGGGTTTTGGGACCCCATGTTCTTGATCTGGGGGAAGGGTCCCAAAATTTGGGGGGGTCCGTCAGTTCGGGGACCCAAAGCAGCCCTCGGGGCGGTTTTGGGCGGCTTTGGGGGTTTGGAGATTAGGCGGAGTTTGGGGGTTTTGGGGGTCCCAGGGGTTTGACCCCTATGTTCTTGATCTTGGGTACCAATATTTGGGGTCCTGGTCTAGATTGGGGACCCCAAAACTGGCCCTGGGGACTCGATTTTGGGGGAGCTTTGGGGTTTTGGGGTATTAGTTTTAAGTCCCAGGGAGTTTGGTGACCCCATGTTCTTGATCTGGGGTTTGGGGGTCCCCAAAATTGGAGGTCTGCTCAGAGCTGGGGACCTCAAAAACGGCCCTGGGGGACTCGATTTTGGGGGCTTTGGGGGTTTTGGGGTTATTGGGGGTTTTTTGGGTCCCAGGGAGTTTGGGACCCCATGTTCTGATCTGGGGAGGGGGGTCCCAAAATTGGGGGCTCTGTCAGGTTGGGGACCCCAAAAAACGCCCTGGAAGGCTTGGGGGTTTTGGGGATTTGGGGTCCCAGGCTGGACTTTGGGGGTTGAGGTCCTAGGTGGGTTTGGGACCCCATGCTTGATCTGTGAGGTCCGGCGGACTGGGGTCCTAAAATTTGAGGGAGTCCGTCGTCGGGGACCCTAAAACGGCTCCTAGGACTCCTGATTTTGGGGGGCTTTGGGGGCTTGGGGCTATTGGCTGGGGTTTGGGGGTTTAGGGCTTGTTGGGGGTTTTGGGTGTTTGGGACCCCATGTTCTTGATCTGGGGGGAGGCCCCAAAATTTGGGGGGTCCGTCAGGGTCGGGGACCCCTAAAACAGCCCCGGGGACCCGATTTTGGGGGGCTTCTGGGGGGTTGGTGGGGGGGTTTGGGGTCCCAGGGTTTGGGACCCCATGTTCTTCATCTGGGAGGGTCCCAAAATTTAGAGGTCGTCAGTTGTCAGGGACCCGAGAGCACCCCGGGTGGCTGGGGCTTGGGGGTTTTGGGGTTTTGGGGGTTTGGGGGTCCCAGGGGGATTTTGTAGTCACTAGAGGGAAGTTAAGGATCTGAGGTATTTGGGGTATTTTGGTTTATTTGTCATTTTCGGGTTACTTTAGGAGGGGGTGGTCTTTTGGGTACATTTGAGACATCTGGGGGGTCCTATGTTATTTTGGGTAGTTTGGGGATTGGTGTTTGGGTTATTTTAGGGTTGTTTAAAGCAATGGGGGCATTTAGTTATCTTAAATATTTTGGGGTGTTTGGGTGGGTATTTTAGGGTTATTTTGGTGCATTTGGGGTTATTTGGGGTATTAGTATTTTAGGTTATTTCGGTTGTTTTGTGCAATTTAGGGTTGTTTTGGTGCATTTAAGGTTATTTTGGTGCATTTTGGGGTAATTTGGGGGGAGTTTTAGAGTTTTTGGGGTGTTTTGGGGTCTCTCACCTCCTGGGGGTGAATCGGTCGCACTGGGTGGTCAGCAGCTCCTCCAGGCTGGGGAGGGGCAGGAGGGTCACCACAAGACCCCCTCCCTCCCCCCAAATCCCCTGGGACCCCCAAAACCCCCCAAAATCTCCCAAAATCCCCCAAATCCCCCAAAATCCCCCCAAAATCCCCCAGACTCTGTGGTCTTCTCACCCATGGAACCCCCCAAATTGAACCTTCCTCCCCCCCCAAATTTGGGGTCCTCCTCCCCTCCCCCTCCAAAATTCTCATTCCCCTCCCCACCCCCCAAAATCTTGGGTGGGCTCCTTCCCCTCCCCAAATTAGCCCTCCTCCTCCTCAGCAACCAAATAAATTTAGCTCCCTCCCCCCACCCCCAAGCTCGGGTCTCTCCCTGCCTCCTCCCCACCTCTCGGACCCTCCCCACCACCATCTGAGACCACCCAAAATGAGCGGGGAGGGAATGGGAGACGGGGGTCCTTCCTTCCCTCCCCTGGGTGGTTTGGCCTACCCCACTCCCCAGGCCTCCTCCCTCACCTCTGTGGCCCCTCCCCCACTCACAAGTCTCTTTCTTGATGGAGCCCTTCCGTCGGGGTCCAGCACCTTGAAGGCCCCCATGATGACGTCCTCGGGTCCGCCCCTGGGGAGGGGCGAGAGGAGGTCAGGGGTGGGGAGGCAGGCGGGTGGGGAGGGCAGAAACACCCCCTCCTCTTCCCTCTTAAATATCTCATTTCTGGGAGGGGAGGGGCCTGACTGGGGGTGGGGAGGGGTTCGACGGGGTGGGGGAGGATCGAGGTGGGTGGGGAGGGGTCCTTGAGGTGGGGAGGCAGAAATTCCCCTTAAAATTCCCATTTCCAAGCTGGATTCTGACCCCACCCGGGGTGGGGAGGGCTGACGGGGGAGGGTCGAGATGGGTGGGGAGGGCCAGGTGGGTGGGGAGGGGTCCTTAAGGTGGGGAGGGCTGAGTGGTGGGAGGGGTCCTTGAGGTGGGGGAGGGCAGAAATTCCCCTTTAAATCTCCCAGTTTCCAAGGAGGGGGAACTGATGGGGTGGGGAGGGTCAGGGTGGGTGGGGGAGGGTCGGGGTGGGTGGGGAGGGTGCAGTGGGGGGTCAGGGTGGGTGGGGGGAGGGGCCCCCTGACCCTTGAGCTTCTCCCCGAACATGGTGAGGAAGACGGTGAAGTTGATGGGCCCGCTCGCCTCCTTGATCATCGCGTCCAGCTCCTCGTTCTTCACGTTCAGCCGCCCTGCAGGGGGCGCCAAAGGGGGGGGAGGGGCCTCAGGCCACGCCCATGCGGCCACGCCCACATAGGACACGCCCCCTTTCCCGCCACACCCTTCTAAACCACGCCCACCCCTTCATCTCAGAGCCACTCCCACTCTATTTAAGACCCTCCTACTTTATTTAAGCCACTCCCACTCAGTTTAAGCCCCTCCCACTCTTTTAAGCCACTCCCACTCAATTTAAGCCCCACCCACTCTGTTTAAGCCCCTCCCGCTCCATTTAAGCCCCTCCCACTCTATTTAAGCTCCTCCCACTCCATTTAAGCTCCTCCCACTCTGTTTAAGCCCCTCCCACTCAATTCAAGCCCCTCCCACTCTGTTTAAGCCCCTCCCACTCTGTTTAAGCCCCTCCTACTCCCTTTAAGCCCCTCCCACTCTGTTTAAGCTCCTCCCACTCTATTTAAGCCCCTCCCACTCTACTTAAGCCCCTCCCACTCTAAGCTCCTCCCACTCCCTTTAAGTCCCTCCTACTCAATTGAAGCTCCTCCCACTCTATTTAAGCCCCTCCCACTCTATTTAAGCCCCTCCCACTCTATTTAAGCCCCTCCCACTCCATTTAAGCCCCTCCCACTCTCTTAAGCCCCTCCTCTTTCCCATCAAGTCCCTCCCCTTCATGCTAAGCCCCTCCCACTCTATTTAAGCCCCTCCCACTCTGTTTAAGCCCCTCCCACTCAATTTAAGTCCCTCCCACTCTCTTAAGCCCCTCCTCTTTCACATCAAGTCCCTCCCCCTCATGTTAAGCCCCTCCCACTCCCTCTAAGCCCCTCCCACTTTATTCAAGCCCCTCCCACTTTATTTAAGCCCCTCCCAGTCAATTTAAGCTCCTCCCACTCTATTTAAGCCCCTCCCACTGAATAAAAGCCCCTCCCACTCAATTTAAGCTCCTCCCACTCAATTTTAGTCCTTCTGACTCCATTTAAGCCCCTCCCACTCTGTTTAAGCCCCTCCCACTCTATTTAAGCCCCTCCCACTCTGTTTAAGCCCCTCCCACTCCTTTTAGCCCCTCCCACTCTTTAAGCCCCTCCTACTCAATTCAAGCCCCTCCCACTCTGTTTAAGCCCCTCCCACTTCTTCAGCCCCTCCTGTTACGTCACAAACCCTCCCCTTTCCCTTAAGCCCTCCCCACCGTGTGCCCTCCCCATGCCTCTGCCCCCCTCCCCACCCATGGCAGCGAAGGTCTCCTGAGGTCATCCTTGTCGATGATCCCGTCCCGGTTCTGATCGATCACTGTGAACGCCTGGGGGAGGGAGGGAGGGGTCTCAGAGAGGGGGAGGGGCCTCACGGGTGGGGAGGGCTCAGGAACTGCCCCGAGCCCTCGACCCCCCCCACCCGCATGGTTCAGGACCCTGCCTCAAAACGGAGGGTCTCAAAGGTGGGGAGGGTCTTAAAGGTGGGGAGGGGTCTTAAAGGTGGGGAGGGGCCTCGGAGGAGGGGAGGGGTCTCAAAGGTGGGGAGGGGTCTCAAAGGTGGGGAGGGGTCTCAAAGGTGGGGAGGGGCTAAAGGTGGGGAGGGTCTTGAAGCTGGGAGGGGTCTCAAGGTGGGGAGGGGTCTAAGGTGGGGAGGGGTCTTGAGGTGGGGAGGGGTCTCAAAGGTGGGGAGGGGTCTCAAAGGTGGTGGAGGGTCTTAAAGGTGGGGAGGGGCCTCAACTCCCACCGCCCCTGCCCCACCCCAAAATGACTGAAATAGCCCCTCCCCACCCAAAAATGGGCGTCCCTGCCCAATCAAGCCCCTCCCCACCCTCTGCCTCCTCCCCCACCCTCCCGACACCCGATCCCCCAAAACAGGTGGTTTGGGGAGAGAGGAGAGGGGGTCCTGGCACCTGTTCCTGCCCCTCCCCACCCCCTCCTCCTTAATTCCCCCTCCCCCTTCCCAAATCCCATTTGGGGACTTCCCCAAAACCCCGAAATTCACCCCAAAATCCCTCCCAGATCCCAAAATGTCCCCAAATTCCTCCCAGAGCCCCCAAATTCCCTCCCAGAACCCCAAATTCCTCAGAGCCCCCAAATTCCTCCCAGAGCCCCCAAATTCTCTCCCAGAGCCCCAAATCCTCCCAGAGCCCCCAAATTCCTCCCAGAGCCCCAAATTCCTCCCAGAGCCCCCAAATTCCCCAAAATTGTCCTTTCAGAGTCCCCAATCCAACTGAGGGCCCCCTCAAACTCCCCAAACCCCTTCACTCTCCCCAAAATCCTCAAACTCCCCCAATTCTCACCCTCAAATCCCCCAAATCCCCCAAAATCCTCTCCAGACCCCCCCAAAACCCCCTCAAACCCCTCAATTCCCAATCCCCCCACCCAATCCCCCTAAATCCTCTCCAGACCCCTCAAATCCCCTCAAATCTCTCCCCAAATCCCTCAATGCCCCCAAATCTCCCCAAATTCCCCCAAATCCCCAAAATCCTCTCCAGACCTCTCACAAATCCCCCAAATTCTTCCCCACCCCTTGAACTCCTCCTGAATCTGGCTCTGGCCAAACGGAGCCCCTCCAGACTCTCCCAAATTGCCCCCAAACCCCCTCAAATCTTCCCCCAAATCCCCCAAATTCCCCCAAATTCCCCAAATCCTCCCAAATCCCCCAAACCCCTCCCCCACCTCCCTTGAACTCCTGGATCTGGGTCTGGTGGAGTGTGGAGCCCCTCCCAGACCCCCTAAAACCCCCAAAACCCTTCACCCCTCAAACCCCCTCAAACCTCTCTCAAATCCTCTCCAACTACCTAATCCCCCAAATTCCCTTTGGCCCCTCCCCCACCTCCTTGAACTCCTGGATCTGGGTCTGGTCGAAGCGTGGAGCCCCTCCCAGACCCCCCAAAACCCTCAAATCCCCCAAAATCCCCAAATTCCCCTCAAAACCCCTCAAATCCCTCAAATCCCTCAAATCTCCCCCAAACCCCTTCAATTCCCCCAAACCCTCCCCTGAACTCCTTGAACTCCGGATCTGCTCGGATCTGGAGCTCTGGCCTAGACTTCGAAACTCCTCCCAGAACACCCCAAAACCCCTCAAATTCCCCCAAACCCCTCAAACCCCCTCAAATCCCCCCAAATTCCCCTGGACCCCTCCCGACCTCCTCGAACTCCTGACCTGAATCCGCCCGAACGTGAGCCCTCCCCACACTCCTCTGAACTCCTCGGATCTGGGTCTGGCTTGAACATTCGAAGCCCCTCCCAGACCCCTCAAAACTCCCCTGATCCCTCAAATCCCTCTTAAGCCTTCCCCACCCCTGAATCCTGATCTGGGCCTGAAATTGGAGCCCCTCAAAGACCCTCTAAACCCCCTCAAATCCTCCCTCAAATTCCCTCTAATCCCTACTCAAATCCCCCAAATTCTTCCCCACCTCCTTGAACTCCTGGATCTGGGTCTGGTCGAACATGGAGAAGACGTTGGAGGACCCTCGGCCGCACGGCGCTCGCCTTCTTCGGGGCCTGGGGGTTTGGGGGCTCAGGGGGGATTTTGGGGGATTTTAGGGGGAATTTGGGGAATTTGAGGAGGGCTTTGGGGGATTTGGGGGGTTCAGGGGATTTGGGGGATTTGAGGGGAAATTTGGGGCTGGGAGGGATTTGGGGAAATTTGGGGGATTTGAGGGGATTTGGGGGCAATTTAGGAGGGATTTTGGGAGCTCAGGGGGATTTTAGGGGATTTTGAGGGAGTTTGGGGAGATTTGGGGGATTTAAGAGAATTGGGGGTAATTGGGGAAATTTGGAGCTGAGAGGATTTTGGGGGGATTTGGGGGATTGGAGGAATTTGGGGTTTTGGGGAGTTTGGGGATTTGAGGGAATTTGGGGAATTGGGGGAGTTTGAGGGGGATTGGGGAGTTTGGGGGAATTTGGGGGATTTGAGGGGGATTTGGGGGATTTGGGGAGTTTGAGGGGGAATTTGGGGTTTGGGGGATTTGGGGGAGTTTGAGGGGGAATTTGGGAGGAATTTTGGGGATTGGGGGTTGGGAAGGATTTGGGGGGGAAATTTAGGGGCTGGGAGGGATTTGGGGGAACTTTGGGGGATTTGAGGGATGGAATTTTGGGGAGTGGGGGATTTTGGGGGTCCCGTGGTGGATTTTGGGGGTATTTTGGGGGTCCTGGGTGAATTTTGGGGGGTATTTTGGGGGTCCTGGGGTGGATTTTTGAGGGGTCTCAGGGGGTATTTTGGGGGTCCTGAGGTTGATTTTGGGGGTCCTGGGGTGGATTTTTGGGGTCCTGGGTGGAGTTATTTTGGGGTCCTGGGTGGATTTTAGGGGTCCCCCTCACCATTCTCTCTCTGGGGTGTCCGGGGTCCCTCGGGGTCTCTGGGGTCTCTGGGGTCCCTGGGGGTTTTGGCTCCTCCCGGGGGTTTTTATGGCCCCGGGCAGGGGGTGGGAGGGCTGCCCCAAAAATAACCCCCTGCCCTTCCTCTGCCCCCTCCCCTGCTCGGGGTCCCCCCAAAAGGGTCTCAGGGTGCCTCAAAGGGGCAGGGCTAAAAATAGAAACCCCCTGCCCCTCCCCCCACCCCGCACCTGCTGCTGCCCCTCCCCCACTGCGGGGCGGGAGGGGGAGGGGTCCCAGTGGCTCCAGTGATCCTAAACCAGTGAGACCAGTGACACCAGTAACCCCCCCAGTAACTCACCAGTAACCTCCCAGTGCTCCCAGTGCTCCCAGTGACCCTAAACTGGAGATCCCAGTGACACCAGTAACCCCAAACTGGGGGTCCCAGTGACACCAAACCAGTGACACCAGTAACCCCCCAGTGACACCAGTGATCTTAAACCAGTGCTCCCAGTGACACCAGTAATCCCCAGTAACCCCCCAGTAACCCCCACTGCTCCCAGTGACACCAAACCAGTGGCACCAGTGAGACCAGGAACCCCCCAGTGACACCAGTGACACCAGTAACCCCCCAGTAACCCCCAGTAACCTCCCAGTGCTCCCAGTGCAGTGACAGCGGCGAGAACTGGGAGCGCTGAGGCCAAACTGGGCCCTGCTGGTTTGTACTGGTCTGTACTGGCCATGCTGGTTTGTACTGGTCTGTGCTGCTCTGTACTGGTTTAAATTGGTCTATACTGGTTCCTACTGAGCCATAACGGCCCGTACTGGTCTGTACTGGTCTGTGCTGGTTTGTGCTGGTTTATACTGGTCTGTGCTGCTCTGTACTGGTTTAAATTGGTCTATACTGGTTCATACTGAGCCATAACGGCCCGTACTGGTCTGTACTGGTCTGTACTGGTTCCTACTCAGCCATAACGGCCCGTACTGGTCTGTGCTGGTATATGCTGGTTTGTGCTCCTCTGCACTGGTCTGTGCTGGTTTTTACTGGTCTGTACTGGTTTATACCGATCCATAACTGCCCATACTGGTCCCAACTGGTCCCAACTGGTCCGTACTGGGAGCCTCTCCCTGTGCTGGTCCCCTGCTCCTGTCCCTGTCAATCAAACCCCGACCCCGCCCCCCTCGCCCTCCCAGCCAATGAGAAGCCTCCTGGGCGTGTCATCCCCTGGACCAATCAGCGCCGAGGGGCGGGACCCTTATCGCCCAATCAGAAGCGAGAAACCCCTTTAACCACGCCCACAACCATTCCAACCAATCAACGCTCGAAGGGGCGTGGCCTCTGCGCTCTCCGAGCCCTCCCATTGGTCGGATTTTCTCCTTCCGGGTTAAGGGAGGGGCGGGGCGGGTCACGTGGCCCGGCGGTCACGTGGGAGGGGAGCGGTCACGTGGAGGAGGCGCCGGGAGGAGGTGCCGGGGGGAATTTGGGGATTTTGGGGGATTTTGGGAGTTTGGGGTGGTTGGGAGGTTCGGGGATCTTGGAGGGTTTGGGGAGTTGGGGTGAAATTTGGGGGAATCTGGGAGGTTTGGAGGTCTGGGGTGGTCCTGGAGGGGGAGGGGAAAGGGGGATTTGGGGAGTTTGGGGGATTTTGGGACGGATTTGGGGCGATTTGGGAGTTTTGGGGTCTTGGGAGGATTGGGGGCTTAGGGGTGAAATTTGGGGGAATTTGGAGGGGGGTCTGGGGCGGTCCGGGGAGGGAGGGGAAAGGGGGATTGGGGGAGTTTGGGGGATTTTGGGTGGATTTTGATTTTGGGGGTTTGGGAAGGTTTGGGGATCTTGGGGGTTGGGAGGGGTTGGGTTAAAATTTGGGTGAAATTTGGGGGTTTGGGGGTCTGGGGCGGTCCTGGGGGAATGGAAAGGGGGATTTGGGGAGTTTGGGGGAAATTTGGGGGATTTTTGGGGGTTGGGAGGTTCGGGGGTCTTGGGAGGGTTGGGGGAAATTTGGGGGTTTGGAGGGTCTGGAGTGTCCTGGAGGGGGAGGAAAGGGGAATTTGGGGAATTTGGGGGATTTTGGGGTTTGGAGGGATTTGGGGGTTTGGGAGGTTTGGGGTTGGGGGATTTAGGTGAAATTTGGGGAATTTGGGGGGTTTGGGGGTCTGGAGTGTCCTGGAGGGGGAGGGAAAGGGGAATTTGGGGGAATTTGGGGGATTTTGGGGGTTTGGAGGATTTGGGGGTTTGGGAGGTTTGGGGGTTGGGGGATTTGGGGTGAAATTTGGGGGAATTTGGGGGTTTGGGGGGTCTGGGATGGTCCTGGGGGAGGGGAAAGGGGGATTTGGGGGAGTTTGGGGGATTTGGGGGATTTGGGAGGATTTGGGGGTCCCTGAGTGAGTTTTGGGGTCCCTGGGTGGATTTTGGGGTCCCTGGGTGGGTTTTGGGGGGTCCCTGGGTGAGTTTTGGGGTCCCTGGGTGGATTTTGGGGTCCCTGGATGGATTTTGGGGTCCCTGGGTGGGTTTTGGGGTCCCTGATCCCATTTTGGGGGTCTCTGGGTGGATTTGGGGTCCCTGAGGTGGATTTTGGGGTCCCTGGGTGGGTTTTGGGGGTCCCTGGGTGGGTTTTGGGGGTCCCTGGGTGAATTTTGGGGTCCCTGGGTGGATTTTGGGGTCCCTGGGTGTATTTTGGGGGTCCCGGGGTGGATTTTGGGAGGTGTGGGCGTGGCCTGGTGGTCCCGCCCCTCCCCCACTCTCCACCCCTCCCCTTTTTTTCTTTCTTCCTCCCCCAAAAACTCAGCTCTCCCCCACCCAGCCCCTCCCCCAATGGCCTCCCCTGCCCCTCCCCACTCCTGGGCCGCCCCTGACGACACGGGGGCGGGGCCGGAGGTTCCGCCCCTCCCCACCCCGGGCCGGCCCCGCCCCTCTCGGCTGCCCCTCCCCGCGGGCCTCCGCCCGCCCCTGGGACGCGTCCTGGTGCTCTGCGGCATCAACCTGCTCAACTACATGGACAGATTCACCGTGGCCGGTGGGGGAGGGGCCAGGGGGTGGGGAGGGGTCTGGAGTGGGGGAGGGAGGGATGTCCAGGTTTGGGTGGGGGAGGGGCAGGAGATTGGGGTTGGGTGGGGGAGGGGTTTGAGGGGTGTGGAGGGGCAGGGGAGGGCTTGGCTGGGGGAGGGGCTTGGAGTGGGGAGGGGTTGGGTTTGAAGGGGGAGGGGTAGAAGGTGGGGGAGGGGCCAAGGGGGAGGGGGAGGCGTGGGGAGGGCGGTGGGTGGGGAGGGGCAGAAACTTGGGGGAGGGGTGGTAGGTGGGGTTTGGGTGGGGGTAGGGTCAGGAGGTGGGGTTTGGGGTGGGGGAGGGGCAGGAGGTGGGGCTTGGGTGGGAGGGGCTTGAGTGGGGAGGGAGGGATGTTCAGGTTTGGGTGGGGAGGGGCAGTAGGTGGGTTGGTGGGATGGCTGAGTTTGAAGGGGGCAGGAGGTGGGGCTTGGGTGGGGGAGGTGGCTTGAAGGGAGGTGGGAGGTGGGGCTTGGGTGGGGAGGGGTTGGATTTGAAGGGGGGGTGGAAGGTGGGGAGGGGCAGGAGGTGGAGTTTGGGTGGGGGAGGGGCAGAAACTTGGGGGAGGGGCAGGAGGTGGGGAGGGGCAGGAGGTGGAGTTTGGGTGGGGAGGGGTTTGGAGTGGGGGAGAGGAGGGATGTTGAGGTTTGGGTGGGGAGGGTGCAGGAGGTGGGGCTTTGGGTGGGGGAGGGGTGAGAGGGGTTAGGAATGGGGAGGGGCAGTACGTGGGGTCTTGCGGGAGTGGGGAGGGGGCAGGTGTGAGAGGGTGGGGGAGGGGCAGGAGAGGAGGGGTCAGGGTGGGTGTGGTTGAGGTGGGCGTGTCCCAGGTGGGGTGGGCGTGTCCCAGTGGGTGTGGCCAAGGTGGGCGTGTCCCAGGTGATTTGGTGGGTGTGGCCAAGGTGGGCGTGTCCCCCAATTGGCCCCTCCCCCCCAGGGGTGCTCCCGGAGGTCGAGGATTATTTCGGGATCGGCGACAGCAGCTCCGGCCTCCTCCAGACAGGTGAGGCCACGCCCCCTTCTGGCCACGCCCCCTTCTGGCCACACCCCTTTCTGACCACACCCCCTTTTGGCCACACCCACCCAGCTGGGAGGTCATGACCCTTTGACCACACTCTCTTTGGCCACACCCACTCAGCTAAGAGGACACACCCTCTTTGGCCACACCTACCAAAAAGGGCACTCCTCCTTTGACCACGCCCCATTTTGACCACACTCTCTTGTCAGGCCACACCCCCTTTGGCCACACCCTCTTTCGTGTCAGGACACTCCCCCTTTGACCATGCCCCCTTTGGCCACACCCACTCAGCAAAAAGGGCACTCCCATTTTGACCACGCCCCCTTTGGCCACACCCACTCAGTTAAGACGACACACCCCCTTTGGCCACACCCTCTTGTCAGGCCACACCCTGTTTGGCCACGCCCTGTTTGGCCACTCCCTCTTGTCAGACCACACCCTCTTTTGGCCACGCCCACTCAGCTAAGAGGACACACCCACTTTGGCCACGCCCACTCAGCTAAGAGGACACACCCACTTTGACCACGCCCTCTTTGGCCACACCCTCTTGTCTAAGAGGACACCCCCCCTTCTGACCACACCCCATTTGGCCACACCCACTTTGACCACACCCTCTTTGACCACGCCCACTCCCCTGGGAGGACACCCCCCCTTTCAACCACACCCCCATTGGTTTTTTTTGGGGGGGTTTTTTTGGGGTTTTTTTGGGGTTTTTTGTATTTTACGGGATTTTTTTGGGTTTTTTTTTGTTCCCTGATGTCTATTTTTGGGGTGTCCCTGATTTTGGGGTGTCCTCTCAGTGTTCATCAGCAGTTCCCTGGTCCTGGCCCCCGTGTTTGGGTTTTTGGGGGAGGGGTTTTTTGTGTATTTTTTTGGGTTTTTTTGGGTATTTTTTTGGGGTTTTTTTTGTATTTTATGGGATTTTTTGGGGTTTTTTTTGTTTTCCATGGGGTTTTTTGGGGTGTCCCTGATTTTGGGGTGTCCCCCCCAGTGTTCATCAGCAGTTCCCTGGTCCTGGCCCCCGTGTTTGGGTTTTTGGGGGAGGGGTTTTTTGGGTATTTTTTGGGTTTTTTTTTGTATTTTATGGGATTTTTTCGGGGTTTTTTTGTTCCCTGTGTTATTTTTTGGGGTGTCCCTGATTTTGGGGTGTCCCCCCAGTGTTCATCAGCAGTTCCCTGGTCCTGGCCCCCGTGTTTGGGTTTTTGGGGAGAGGCTTGTGTATTTTTGGGTTTGGTATTTTTAGTTTTTGTATTTTATGGGATTTTTTGGGGTTTTTTTTGTTTTCCATGGGTGTTATTTTGGGGTGTCCCTGATTTTGGGGTGTCCCCCCCAGTGTTCATCAGCAGTTCCCTGGTCCTGGCCCCCGTGTTTGGGTTTTTGGGGGAGGGGTTTTTTGGGTATTTTTTGGGTTTTTTTTTGTATTTTACGGGATTTTTTTGGGTTTTTTTTTGTTCCCTGTGTTATTTTTTGGGGTGTCCCTGATTTTGGGGTGTCCCCCCCAGTGTTCATCAGCAGTTACCTGGTCCTGGCCCCCGTGTTTGGGTTTTTGGGGGACCGGCACAGCCGGAAGCGGCTCCTGGCGCTGGGACTCGCCCTCTGGACCGGGGTCACCCTGGCCACCAGCTTTGTGCCCCCCCAGGTGAGATCCTTGGGGACATTTGGGGACATTTTGGGGATGTTTGGGGTCATTGGGACCATTTTGGGGTCATTGGGATCATTTGGGGTCATTTTGGGCCATTTTGGGATCATTTTGGGGTCATTTTGGGGTCATTTTGGGGGTATTTGGGTCACCCTGGCCACCAGCTTTGTGCCCCCCCAGGTCAGAAATGGGACATTTGGGGACATTTGGGGACATTTGGGATCTTTGGGGCCATTTGGGGGCATTTGGGGCCATTTTGGGGGCATTTGGGGTCATTTTGGGGGCATTTTGGGATCATTTGGGAGCATTTTGGGGGTATTTGGGTCACCCTGGCCACCAGCTTTGTGCCCCCCCAGATGAGATCCTTGGGGACATTTGGGGACATTTTGGGGATGTTTGGGGTCATTGGGTTCATTGGGAGCATTTTGGGATCATTTTGGGAGCATTTGGGGTGATTTGGGGTCATTTTGGGGGCATTTTGGGATCTTTTGGGGGTATTTGGGTCACCCTGGCCACCAGCTTTGTGCCCCCCAGGTCAGAAATGGGACATCTGGGGACATTTGGGGATCATTTTGGGGTCATTTGGGACTATTTTGGGATCTTTGGGGTCATTTTGGGAGTGATTTGGGGTCATTTTGGGGTCGTTTGGTACCTGGGGTCATTCTGGGGACATTTGGGGACATTTGGGGGTCATTTGGGGGCATTTTGGGGTCATTTGGGTCACCCTGGCACCAGCTTTGTGCCCCCAGGTCAGATCTTGGGGACATTTGGGGACATTGGAGCATCTTGGGATCATTTGGGGTGATTTTGGGGTCGTTTGGGGTCATTTGGGGCCATTTGGAGTCATTTTGGGGTCATTTGGGGTCGTTTAGTATTTGGGGATCATTTTGGGATCATTTGAGGGGCATTTTGGGGACATTTGGGACCATCTTGGGATCATTTTGGGATCTTTTGGGGTCATTTGGGGCCGTTTTGGGGATATTTGGGGGACATTTCGGGTCACCTGGGGTCTTAGGTGGGGTGGGGGAGGAGTCAAGGGAGGGTGAGGGGTCAAGGAGGGGGGAGGGTGGGTGGTGGGACCACCCCCCTCCCCACCTCCTTCTGATCCCCAAATGGAGTGGGGAGGGGCCCTTTGACCCCCAGTTCACCCCCCAAATCGAGGAAGCGCAGGGTGGGGGAGGCGGGAAGGGTCCCACTGCTGGCCCTCCCCCGCCTGACCCCTCCTGCCCCTCCCCAGCGTTTGGGGCTCTGGAGCGGGGTGGGGGGAGAGGCATGGCTGTGCCCTGCCCCTCCCCCACCCCACAAGTGACCCCTGTGACCCCTGTGCCCCTCCCCAGCGTTTTGGGGGCTGTGGATGGGGTGTGGGGAGGGGCGTGGCTGACCCCTGTGACCCGTGCCCCTCCCCAATTCACCGCGTGCCCTCCCCAGCGTTCGGGGGCTCTGCTGAGTAGGCAGGGCCTGGTGGGGAGGGTGTGGATGACCCCTGTGACCCTGTGCTCCTCCCCCAGCGTTTCGGGGCCCTGCTGGCAGGCAGGGCCTGGTGGGGTGAGGAGTGCTGGCCTGCCGCCCTGTGCCACCCTCCGCTGACCCCTCGTGACCCCTCTCCCCAGCGTTTTGGGGCCCTGCTGGCGGGCAGGGCCCTGGTGGAGGGTGGGGAGTGGCCCCTCCCTGTTGCCCACTCCCCAGCGTGGACTCACCTGCCTCTGCCCCTCCCCAGGCGTTTTGGGGCCCTAGCTGGCGGGCAGGGCCCTAGGTGGGGAGTGGGGAGGCCGCCTATTCCACCCTGGCCCCCACCCTGGTGGCCGATCTGTACCGAGGACCCGCCCGGAGCCGCGCCCTGGGGGCCTTCTACCTGATGGTGCCCCTGGGGAGGTGAGGATTCACTAATTAATGGGTTAATTAGGGGTTAAATGGCGCCCTGGGGGCCTTCTATCTGATGGTACCCCTGGGGAGGTGAGGATTCATTAATTAATGGGTTAATTAGGGGGTAAATGGCGCCCTGGGGGCCTTCTATCTGATGGTACCCCTGGGGAGGTGAGAATTAACTAATTAATGGGTTAATTAGGGGGTAAATGGCGCCCTGGGGGCCTTCTATCTGATGGTACCTCTGGGGAGGTAAAGATTCATTAATTAATGGGTTAATTAGGGGGTAAATGGCGCCCTGGGGGCCTTCTACCTGATGGTACCCCTGGGGAGGTAAAGATTCATTAATTAATGGGTTAATTAGGGGTTAAAAATGGGTTAAATGGCGCCCTGGGGGCCTTCTACCTCATGGTGCCCCTGGGGAGGTGAGGATTAACATTAATTAATTAATTAATTAATTGGGGTTAAAAATGGGGGCTTCTACCTCATGGTGCCCTTGGGAAGGTGAGGGTTAATTAACTAATTAATGGGTTAATTAATGAGGTTAAATGGGGGTAAAAAGGGGGCCTAAGAGGGCTAAATGGGGTGGGGGGAGGGGCCAAAGGGGTGGGGAGGGGCTGGATGGGACATGTGGGGGGAGGGGCCATGGAGGGGGTGGGGAGGGGCTGGGGAGGGTCATGGGTGGGTGGGGAGGGTCTGGGTGGGGGGTGGGGGAGGGGGCTCTGGCCCAACCCTCCTCTCCCCCTTGCCCTCCCCAGCGGCCTGGGCCACATCAGCGGGGTCAAAGGTCAAGGGCGTGGCAGCCGAGTGGCGCTGGGCCCATGGCGGTGCAGTGGGGAGGGGCCACCCTGGGACCCCCAGGGACTCCCCCCTTGACCTTTCGGTGACCTCCTGACCCCCCTTGACCCCTGTGTGACCCCTGAGTGACCCCTGAGTGACCCCTGAGCTCTGTGTGACCCCCCATGACCCCTCTGTGACCTTTGACCCCCCTCTGCCCCCCCAGGTGACCCCAGTTTTGGGTGCTGTGTCCCTGTGTGACCCCTGTTTGACCCCTGTGTGACCTTTGACCCCCAGGTGACCCCCATTTTGGGGTTCCTGTCCCTGTGTGACCTCTGTGTGACCTTTGACCCCTCTGTGTGACCTTTGACCCCCCAGGTGACCCCCATTTTGGGGTTCCTGTCCCTGAGTGACCTCTGTGTGACCTTTGACCCCTCTGTGTGACCTTTGACCCCCCAGGTGACCCCCATTTTGGGGTTCCTGTCCCTGAGTGACTCCTGTGTGACCTTTGACCCCCCTTTGCCCCCCAGGTGACCCCCATTTTGGGGTTCCTGTCCCTCCTCCTCCTCCCCTCCTCCGTCGTCTCGACCCCCATGACCCCTTTGTGACCTTTGACCCCTCTGTGTGACCTTTGACCCCCAGGTGACCCCCATTTTGGGGTTCCTGTCCCTGAGTGACCCCCCCATGACCCCTGTGTGACCTTTGACCCCCAGGTGACCCCCATTTTGGGGTTCCTGTCCCTGTGTAACCCCTCTGTGTGACCTTTGACCCCTCTGTGTGACCTTTGACCCCCCAGGTGACCCCGGTTTTGGGGTTCCTGTCCCTGAGTGACTCCCCCATGACCCCAGTGTGACCTCTGACCCCCAGGTGACCCCCATTTTGGGGTTCCTGTCCCTGAGTGACCCCCCTGTGACCTTTGACCCCCTGTGACCCCCAGGTGACCCCCATTTTGGGGTTCCTGTCCCTCCTCCTCCTCCTCGCCGTCGTCTCCGACCCCCCCATGACCCCTGTGTGACCCCTGTGTGACCTTTGACCCCCAGGTGACCCCCATTTTGGGGTTCCTGTCCCCTCCTCTGTCCTCGTGGCGCCGTCTCCGACCCCCAGAGGGGCCCTCGAGGGCCCCCGGGCCCCGCCGCCCCTCCCCGGGAGTGGAGCCACGACCTCCGGGAGCTCGCCCGCAAGTGAGTCCTGACCTTTGACCTTTGACCTTTGACCCCTGGGAGGGCTTTGGGGATTTTTTGGGGTCAATTTTAGAGGTATTTTAATGGG